TTTTTTTGTTATTTTTGGATATAAAACATATTTGTCAAACTTTAATGAACGTAGAACAAGTATTGCATTGCTTTATTTTTTTTGAAACGACTCAGAATAATTTTGAAGAGTAAAACATTGTTTTAGTTCAATATTTTTACTTCTATTTAAGTCATGTCATAAGGCATTTTTATCGCAATTTTCGCATTTTAAGGGCATTGTTTGCACTTTTAAGGGCATTTTTTGCAGTTCATAAGGGCATTTTTTGCACTTTTTAAGGGCATTAATTGAGATTTTTTAGGTCATCAAAATCCGGGCTCTAATGATTACATTTAATATACGAATAAGACAGATCAAATATTATTTAAGCATTTTTTTTCTCTTCTTTTTGGCAATTTTCGACCCCTTCTTTTTAGTCACCAAAAATGAACAAATCCCAAACCCCCCTTACCTACAGAAGTCGCAACACTTGGTAACTATCCCGCTTAAATTTACATTAAAAGTTTTTTTTTTAAAAGATTCCTACTATTAGTTTACATTACACTCTCCCCTCTATCTTGTTCAAATTTTCAATCGTTCAAAAAATACTTTTTATTCATCCACTCAAATAAATATTTTTTTAAACTCGTAACCTTTGATGTTAATACAGTTTTTTTTTTCAAATATTAATTCTTTAATAAAATGCAATTAATTAAATTAAATTAATGGGCGAAAATGTTTTAATTATTTAATAAAAAGTAACTAAAATAAAAATTTTCTTTGGTGACCTAAGGTCAGTAGGAATTGACTTAAAAAAAAATTATTTTTTAATATTACCTCTTTAATTAAAACTATGGATTTATATTTTTATTAATATATCGCTATACTGTATTTATTTATTAATTTTTTTAGTTTTTTGACCTAAGGTTTTATTTACCCATTGCGTCCAACAATAGCAGTCAGTCAAATTACTCTGTGTGAACGAGGATTTTAGAGAAAAGAGACGGAATAATTTACCGTGAAAAAAAATTCTGCTCCCCTAAATGTGATCATCTTTTCAGGAGCATGGCAGACTTAACTTGAAATATCGTCTGCGCAAAATACATTGTAAGAAATTAAGAGAATATGCAGATTATCTCTAGAACTACAGGACCGATTTTAATGACATTTGATGTGTACATTACATTGATATAATACAAGACAAACAACCATCCAACAATTGTAATACACACGCATGATCGTGCGTAACACTTGTTGGAGTAGGAAGGTATGAAATTACCTCAGGACAATTCATGCCAATTGCCACAGGAAATTATAAACTGTCTTATTTCAAGTATGAAATCACGCTGCAAGACTTTTATATCTGTAAGAGGAGACCCTACCCCCCTATTAACCCCCCTTTTTTTTGTTTATTCTGCAGCCGCTGTTTCTTACCTTCGGACTCCAACGAGTGTTACGCACGATCATGCGTGTGTATTACAATTGTTGAATGATTATTTGTCTTGTATTATATCAATGTAATGTACACATCAAATTTCATTAAAATCGGTCCTGTAGTTCTAGAGATAATCTGCATATTCTCTTAATTTCTTACACCAGTGTAGTTCTAATCAGACTTTTAAGGTTTTTATTGTGTCTGACGATAGACACACCCATTTCAGTTATTCCTCATTGAAAAATATTGACTCTTGGGTTACTTCCCCTTTTGGTTTTTCGCATCTGTACTGGACAGGGCGACAGAACGTGGCATATTAGTCCAGGCTGGGCGTTAGATAAAAAATAAATAAATAAAAGCCTTTTTTACAACTTTTATGATCATTCAGCACGGCTTCTCGCCCACTGAACTAGATTTCTGGGAATCATTTTATATCTTGAATAATTCTAACACTTTAGTTAATAATCTTTGTAGTACCCCATTCCTTCCAAATGTTTTAATTCTACTTCTTGCAACACCTACATGAGGTTCTCACCTTACCACCACAACCTGTATCTTAACTTCACTACTCTTGTTTGATCATTTTCTTCGAGCATCCTCTATTGTAGTGTTTCCCAAAGTGTGGTACGCGTACCCCCAGGGGTACGCGTTCTTATGCAAAATAAATCTTGTAACAAACGAAAATTTCAAAAAATTTTATTTGAAAACAAAGCTAGCCATGAAAATTTACAATTACATATTTTTCTATTGGCTATTTTTAACTTTATAGTATAAAGTGCATTCATTTTTTTATGAGTGGTACACAGTGTTACGAAAAAATTTAGAAAGGGTACACAAAAGTCATAAGTTTGGGAAACACTGCTCTATTGGTTAAGTCTTTTTTTTTTCTCCTGGTTATAAGTTGTTTCCCTTTTTCTTTCTGTGTTTGAACACTGATGAAGGTTTTCAATACGGAACCCAAACTATAGTATGCCAGTATATGTCGTAATATATGCAGAGTTGGCAGGGTTTAGGACAGAATGGATTGATCCACCGTTTAAACCTGTTCAAAACTGTCCGAAACCCTTTTATTCAAATTATGTCACAATTTAGACAAAAAAATATTGTGAAAAATAAAACGTTAATTTTTGAACAAGAAAGAGACAAGTTTTTGTTTTATTAAAAAAGTTTATTATTATTTTTAATATTGCATTTATTAATGCAAAAACATAATTTATCAGTATTAAAAGCATATTTATTCATATTTAAAGGTATTCACTTTTGTTGTTTAATGAATTGTGGAGCTTCAAAACTTATAAATCTTTTTCCTATTGTATTATATTATTTTCCTTTAATAAGTTAAAGCAGATTGTATAAAAATTATCAAATATTTATTAATATATGTAATTATTACATGTACAATGGTTACACATATTTTTACCTTTAACCAATGTTGAAGGTTTTGGACAGTTTTAGTCAGTTTAGGATGTCCAAAACCCCAACCCTGAATATATGTTTCACGTTGTTTAGCTGTACGTATTAACTATGTCCTTTTTATGTAGGAACGAAGTCTTCCACCATCCCTGTACAAGAGACGCCTCTTGAAGAATCGCCGGAGACGACCCTCTGGATGGCCTCTGTGTTCACGCGGCTGCTTGATCATCCATGTCCATGACCCTGACCCANGTAATATGCCAAACAAAATGATGCTTGGAAATGTTGAAAATTTTGTTTAGTATCCTAATATTTTACTTCAAATAGTACTATGTTTTGATATAGTCATGTTGGGAAAATGCAAAAATCTCTTCTTAAATATCTTTTAACAACTTTTTTTCTAATTTTATTGCCCAAAAATGAATTAATTTTAAATCATAAGCAGTTAAGCTCAAATTAAAATACAGTTTTATCAAATATATGGATTTTTGACAGAGGGGTTTTTGACATGACGGTAAAAACCATGGTATAAACCGGTAAAAACCGTCTTGTGTCAAAAACTTGCCAACCCTGGTTAAAAGTCATTATAACTTTCTTTTATTTTCTAATTTGCGATGGCAGCAGATTGATGGTGGTCATTCCCTGGTTCCGGGTAATATGAAGGGGGAAAAAATTTTACCAAAAAAAAGAGCCCACTTTTTAAAAATTGGTACTCTGAAGATATAGTTCGTTCACCAGGTGTTGGCTCTTAGCTCCAACTCGTCGGACGAAGCGCTCGTTTCAGCACGGGAGTAAGAGAAGAAACGTCTCTTGAAATTGAGACAACCCTTAATAACCACTGCGCCAAACGCAAACAGTGACTTCTTTTTCAGTCACTTCTCTTCATTATCCGCTATTATATTTTTCGTTATTCTAGCTAATTGAATATATTGCAGTAAAATGTCTCGAAAAGGACACACTATTCACTCAAAAGAGAAAAATATTAAATTTATGAAATATTGAATGTTAAAAATTGCACATAAAGATTGCGAAATAAATATTTTTGTCATACGATCGCCAAATAGCAACCTTGTTCAGGATCGTTCTCATCCTTCCGTCGAATACCACGTGGCGGAGACAATTGCCAACTTCTGGTGAACGAACTGTAAATTATTTGTTATATAGGGGTATAAAACCTAAGCGGATTTTTCTGCTTTTTTTTTTTCAATACTTCTTATAACCTGCTTTCTATCTCTTTAAATTTCATATTTCTCTTTTTTTCTGATCACTTTTGTAGATGCAAAGCCAAATTTCTCCGTGTTAGAGTAGTTTTGTAACTTACAAAAGTGTTTGAATTTAAATAATGTCTGTGCTTATGTTAAACTCATATCAAAAACTCAAAATTATAAGTTAAATTTTAGCAGTAGTACTTTATCTACGTCATGGAACTGCAACAATGGGCTATTGGCGAGCGGGAAACATCCCAGGGGATGACCAGCACAATTTTGATACTTTGCGTAAGGGATAGCTCTCCGCTTTGATAACTGAAAGGACCGACACCGCACACCCTCGGTCCCTTCGCAGACTATTCTCCCAGCCGGTCATGGGTCGCAGCCAGTGATTCTTGACTTCGTTGATCTACCTTGTCTTTTAAGTCAACTCACTGTAGAACCCTTTATGTTAGGGAGAAAAAGAAACTTATCGAACAACAACGTGGTTTTACTATGGATTTCTGATTCGAAAGTGTCCATTTTAAATTCGTAGAAAGCAATATAGGAAAGAAAAAAAGTAGCTATTTTATCAACTAAATCTCTCAGATTTACCATGGTACTGCCCATGGCAAACAAGTATCCTTTGACTAAGGTACTGCCAATTGTAACTTCCTGCCCTCCCCCCCCCCCAATCCTTGCGTCGCGGGGTTGTTATTCACGCCACTTAAGCTATGACATCAGACACTAAAACCTCATTTTTCTGAATAATCATATCTTCTTTTTTTTCTTCTGGGGATTCCTATCCCTCAAAATCTGGGGGTAGCCACAATCTGAAAAATAATAGTATGGACATGAAAACTGGTCATAAGTTTCTAACTCTTTAATGCTCATTTTACTTTTTGCATATTTTGCCCTATCTCGTAAACTTTTTAAGCGAATCAAAAACATTTTGTTGTCATCAAAAACTGCATATGCTTCGACAGAGATATAAAATAGGTTGAATTTTCTCTGTGAAATCAATTTTTTTTTAAAAAAAAGTCCTCTATATAAAATGATTTTATCAATTTCGTTCGCTTTTTTTTTTTTTTTTGCATTTATAATTGTATAATGACATAAAAATTTGAATACATTACCCTGCAATTAAATTTTTTTGATAATTGTTAAATTAGCTAATGAAAATTATAAATGTTTATTAAAATAAATCAATTTTTATATAGAATTAAACGAATTTCATACTTGTGTTGTTTTTCAATTCTCTTAAGATTTTCGAGAATTCCGCAAAAAGTAAATTTCAAGAGATCCTTATCCTGGCCAAACTATTTGAACCACACACGCACATGTATACGCACATATTAACAGTAAAATCCAGATTATTTGCGGGATTGGATGGCCCTCGAATAATCCACAAATCCTCGAATAATCCTCAGTAATCCGCAAAACGCTTAAGAACCTTTAAAAAATTTTAATATAAATTTTTATTTTTGCATACCTTCAGTTAGCAGTTTTTTTTTCACATTTTCTTTTTTTACAATTATTTCTGCAAAATTTTTCAACTCTTCTTTTTTTCTTCGTTGTGAAACAACTCTTGTTCATTTGAGATTGTAGCAAAATTTCGCTCAAAGTGTCGCATTATCTTCTATATGTGTTAGAGTTGTATCATGACTTTTTTTTTTCTTCTTTTCCTAGTCTGATCCTCTTTTTCATCTTCACTTTCTTCAGCGCCTAATACTGTCTATCTAAAATTTGCCTAATTACTGCGAATTTAGTTAATACGACATTTACCAAAACAAGATCATTTTTTCTTTAACACTAAACATATACCAACACTTAATATAGGAAGGGGTTTATCATTTGAGATGTTTACTAATTTGAGAGGTGAATTTTTTGTCAGACCATTCTTTAAAAAAAAAAATTTTCTTTTGGTGAAAATAGTGTACCAAGAGGTTGTCTAATCTTCTCCCATTGAATGATTTCGGTTTGTCTGTTCATGCAGCACATTGCTGAAAGTCATTATTGTTATTCTTCCTTTATTGAACTTCATGTGCTTCCCGTTCATTTTCAAATTCCAACGTCCATGTTGGCAAACATTACCAAAACAGTCAAGATTCAACTTCGTTGTAAACTTGTTCGTATGAAAATCCTTGTGATTCCAGAAACTGTTCGAACTCCATTTTTAAAATCTTCCACCTGTATGCTGTTCCCAATACTCTTAAAGTAGTTCCATCTCTATGAATTTATTTTACAATTCTGAATGCTACTTTGTTTAATCATTACGAAAACAGAAGAGAAAAACAGCAAAATGAGGAGGTTACTATAATAGTTTATGTGTAAGATTCCTTCAATAGCTAGATAATCCTAGAGACTTTGACTAATTCAAATAAATGGGCATCTTGTTAATGTATATCAAGTTTATTTAACAGCTTGCGTTGAATTCTTCCATGGATGGCAATGATGGTTTCCCATAGCAGGATTTGGCACAGATTTATCTATCCACGAAAATATTAAAAGCCACCCATTTCCGATGGCTCCCGCAATTTAACCAGGGACTCTGAAAGAGATTATGTTAGGCAAGACTATCTTTATCTTAATCAAACGGGAAAATTTAGAGATTTTGATTTGTTCAAAAACATGACGCCTTTCAGACGAAATTCTTGGGACTTTAATTGGCATCTTGAATTCTTATGACTGTTTGTGAAATAACGATTTCTACGTCTTAAAATTAATTAGAAAAATATATATTAAACTTACAATTTAATATATATAGCAAAAACATTGCAACCTTTTTTTTTTTTAATTTTAAGTATAGTCACTCAAAACTTGTTTTCTTTTTATTTATCTTGACACATGAATTTGAAAAATTTTTATTGTCCGGGCTAGCTTCTTTTTTTCTGAATTTTTTTTTTAGTTTAAAGTAACTGTTTCTTATGTGAAATTCCATCGACCATTTTCGGAAAAACCCCAAAAAATGGCGCCAAACAACAACTAAATTTTGTGCCAACAATGGAATATGTACTAAATACGGCTATTCTTTTAACCCTTTATTTAACAAAACATTAAAAAATTATCAAAAATGAGCGATTTTTTTTAATGTCTTTTTTTTCACAAAATTTTTTATTTGGGATCACATTATAAAATTTTAATTAAACATTTAATACTAGTTGAAAGTGTTTATGGATTAATTAAATAATATGAAAGACTCACTTGATCGAGATCTGAAAATTGAGGAATCATGAAATGGCGTCCTCGAACGAAATATCAACTAAATAGATCCGTACATGATGTTCAAATAATCATGTGTTGTCATATAACAGGCAAGTTCCGATCGGATATTTTGTACAGTATATGGAAATAATATTAGTGGGACTTGCCGCCAATCCACTAATATTACTTCCGTATGGGAAGTTTTTTATTTGTTGAAATATATTGAATTTAAAGTAATTTTATATTCAGTTATTTTTAAAAATATACTGTACCTCAATATTTTTAATCATACGTTCAAAAACTTTAATTTCAACAATTTTTAAAATTAATATTTTGTTTTTATTCCTATAATATATTGCACCGATCACAGGAGTCTGTTTCGATTGGAGATAAATGCAACAGTCCTTAAGACTCCAAAGTTTTTTTTTGAGCAGAATCTTTTAGAAAATATGGTTATTACAGCCGAATACAACACAAAATATACATACACAGAGTTGATTTTACGTTTTCACTTTTAATCGAACATAACATTTACAAACATTTGTTTTTACTTCACATAACTCAACTCAAAGAAACGTTTCCACTCAAATATTTTGTGAATTTAGTAATTTAATTAATTTGGTGCACAGCGTTTTTAAAAAGTGCTTAAAGGTACTTATTTTCGATGTTCGTTTTTAAAAACCCTTAAGGTGCTTTTTTTAATGGGGTGTTTTTAAAGAGTGCTTTATTTTCCCTTTTTGAAAATGAAATTTTTTTCATTAACTTGTCGATTTATGCAAAAGCGTGCTTTTCTCATAGTTCTATGCAACGTTTTCACAATTCGTTCAACCACGATCTATTTCGGCGTACCGTCGGTCCATAGCGTATGAAAGCGCCAATCATTTTACATGATTGATGAAATACTTGTGAGTCCCCATGTGCGTCTACTGATCAGGGTTCGATGAGATTATTGCACTCTCATGTGCAACTCTGTTGCATTTTGCAAGATGATATTCTCAATTCCACCCTTTGATATCGAACCGAAAAATCTCTCGTTCTTCTTATGGTGGCTAATGTAATCAAGAAAAGAGTTCTTTGTCAAACACTAGTTATTTTATCATGATCATGTAAAGTCTTTGAGAATTATTTTGCATTTGGTTAATGTATATAGTGCTTAAAAATGTTTTTGAGTGCTTAAAAGGTGCTTATTGAAAGATGTGGCTACGCACCCTGATTTAGAGATGCAGAAATTTCTTCTATTATAGTTTTAATGTGCACTCGACAACATTCGGCAGCTGCAATATATCCTGCTTCGGTACTTGATGTTGCAACTATAGATTGTTTTCTAGAGCAGCAATTAATTGGGACTCCACAGAAAAATATTACATAACCCGTGGGACTTGTACGAATTTCAGGATCTCCTGCTTAGTCAGAATCAAGATTAGCAACTAGTTCTTTATCATTACCATCTTTAGAATAAACGATTCCATCTTTTACACTTCCTCTTAGGTGTCTTAAAATTCTTTTAGCTTTTGTGATTTTTTTTTAATGAATTCTCAGCTTGTCTGCTATTGTTATTTACTGCAAAAGTTATATCTGGTCTTATTCTTGGTGAAAGATAAGAGAAGACTTGCAACTGTTTTTCTGTAAAGGAAATCCATTTTTTCAAGATCTTCTGATTTATTACTTAGCGTTATCATCGGAGTATGGGTTAATTTTGCATGCATTCGGCATTTTTCGATTATTATATCTACATAAGGTTCTTGATGAATTTTTTTTTTCTCAGCTCCATTATTTCTAAGATTTATTCCCCCAAAAAATCTGTTTTTTGATATGATGTCATCTCGGACTCTTTTTTGTAAGTTTTCAATGAAACTAACATGTTCTGTTCAAATTGAATTTAATTTCTTCGATTTTTAAATTGCCTATGTGTTCATGTTCGCTAAATCTTACATCTCTTGAAATTATTATTATTCTGTTTTCTATTTCCCATAATCTATAACCATTTGCTGCATAACCAACAAATATGAGTTCGGTACTTCGACTTTCAAGTTTCTTTAACTTACCAAGGTTATTTGTAAATACAGTCGGACCTCTATTTAACGAAGTCGCTAAATCCCGATTATAAGTTTGTTATATGGAAAATTCGTTAAATAGAAAATCACCTTTTGAAATACTTAAACAACGCAAAACGGGTTTTAAATTCATAATCACTGGACATAATTGAAATATAATTCATCGTATAATTCATCTTAATAGCAATGTATTCACCTTTATCTTGTAAACTAGTTTCTACTATTTATTTTACAAATCTTTACAATAAACGAAACCTGCATGGAAAGCAAGAATAGAGCATAAAACATTATCCAGTACATGCTACATATATTTTCAACTAAAAAAAAAAGCTAAATTTATGTATAAAATTATAGCTGCATTTATTATAAAAGTAATTTTAAAAAATCATTACCTCGTGTGTTCTTAAGTATAGTTGCTATTGATAAAAATCGTTAATTTTGTCTGAGTTTTTTGTTTGAAATGCAAACAAAAAGGGATTATACTGCTTTTTTTAAAAGATAAGTGGCTTCGAAAATCAATTCAAGGTCATTTCCCCCCATAAAATGCCTTTGAAATGTTCTGAAATATTTTGGGAAAGTGGATCTCAATGAAAAAGTTCGTTAAATAGGAAATTCACTTCGCCATTTGGAAGTTATTTTAAAAAGAAATTTCCAAAATGTTCTTGGTTCCTCGAAAAAAATAGCAAAATAGAGAAGTTCTCAAAATGGAAGTTCGTTAAATAGAAGTCCGTTTGTACTTTATTACCAGATATTTTCAGTTTTGATAAATCAGACTTTTTTTTATATCACATTTCAGCTGGAGTTTTATTCACTGCATTGGAGGGATTTAATAAATATGCTGGAGTTAATAGAGCTTCGTGCAACATTTCTTCTTTGAGACAATAATGTTATTAATAATATTGCCAAAAAATATCCATCTTGTCTTATCTAGGATCCAAGCATTTTCTTGAGGAGAATATGAAGTGATCGAATCTAGAACCATTCCCCTTTATTTTTGCTCCAGTTTTTAAAATCATTTGAAATATCTTCACCTCCATTATCACAGCGAATTTTTGAAACACTCAACAACCATTTTGCTTTCTATTCCTTAACATAGTTCTTCAAATTAACTGTTAAATCAAATTGGATAAACCATCTCAAAATGTGTGAAATCGTCTAAAAATGTTACGAAATATTTTTTTGAGATNATAAACAAGTTTGAAATGTTCTGAAATATTTTGAGAAATAGGAAAAGTGAATCTCAAAGAAAAGTTCGTTAAATAGAAAATTCACTTCGCTATTTGGAAGTTATTTTGAAAGGAAATTTCCAAAATGTTCTTGGTTCCTCGAAAAAAATAGCAAGATAGAGAAATTCGCTAAATAGAAGTCCGTTTGTACTTTATTATTAGCAGATATTTTCAGTTTTGATAAATCAGGCTTTCTTTATATCACATTTCAGCTGGAGTTTTATTCACTGCATTTGAGGGATTTAATAAATATGCTGGAGTAGTAATAAAGCTTTTCGTTTCTTCTTTGAGACAATAATGCTAATCCATCTTGTCTTATCCAAGCGTTCAGCATTTACTTGAGGAGAATATGGAGTGGTCGAATCTAAAACTATTCCCCTTTATTTTTGCTCCAGTTTTTAAAATCATTTGAAATATATTCACACCTCCATTATCACAGCGAATTTTTGAAACACTCAACAACCATTTTGCTTTCAATTGTCAGGGGTCTGTCCAGGCCGAATTTACTACCGTTTAGCGGTACCTTCACAAATTCAACTTTAGGAAAAACGGTAGTTTCACAAATTCAATTTTAGGAAAAAAATACTCTTTCTTAAAATTTTATTTTTTTATCCCTTAAGAAACGATAAGTCCATATTTTTGTGTTGATTTTTTAACATAATTTTTAATTTTTCACAAATGATATCTAAATTTTCACAAAATAGGTACCTCTCAGAAAACCCTAGACAGACCCCTGAATTCCTTAACATAGTTCTTCAAATCAACTGTTAAATCAAATTGGATAAACCTTCTCAAAATGTGTGAAATCGTCTAAAAATGTTACAAAATATTTTTTTGAGATATTCAGCCTCATAACAAAAAAATATTTATAAAACTATACGCATATTTACAAATTCGTAACAGTCTACACTGCTTGCAATACGAAACGAATTTGCGCTAACTTTCTTGGTTGATAGGATTTTGCACTCAAATATAAACACTTTATTTCAGTGCTCATAATTAATTAGAAGTCTTATGAACGTGAATGTTATGTGTTTATTATTATAGAGATATATATATACGTGAATGTTATGTGTTTATTCCTATTCACCCAATAATTATTCGCTTTCTCACTACAGATACTGAACAGAAGTCAAAGAACAATTCTCGAGTAGATTCTCCCTGCCAAACACAACAAGAAGAAATCAGGCAGTTGAATGCCATTGCAGATTTAAGCCAAGATGCACTCGAAGCACAAGTTTCCATTTTGCCAGGTAATTTTATTTCCTCTTTTATTAACTTATGAAACAAATAGAAAAAAAATAACTATCAGTTTTAATACAATGATAGTTCTAAATGGTGATTTCAAGTAAGCACAAGCTCGTATTTGATTGACAATCGTCAAATACGAGTTTGACGAACTCGTATTTGTCAATCAATTACAGGATTTTCAATTCAATTATATATATATCCAGCCAACCCCGTTTTTGGTTTACAATTACTAATGTTCAACTCCGTAGCCTTGTAATTTTGAGACAATCCAGAAGACAAGAAGACTCCTGAGTACCCCCAGAGGTATTGATTTGTTATGGGAACATGGAGGACTTTGTGACACGACAGATTTAACGTGCGTCCGTCACCATTTACTACACGGGGAGTCTTTGGACGGCGGGGATTGAGCCCACGAACTCTTGGACATGGGCCCAGTGCCCTACCAAGCAGCCTATCCCAGCCCTAAAGCTACATTAAAAAAAAGAAGTTAAGACTTTGGGGGCGAAGTTTTTGATGATTAGTTTTACACATTTAGTGACATTCATTGGAATGTGGAAAAGACAATGCGTCATACAATCAAGATCAATTATACAGTTTCTTAGCCAATCGAGAGTAGTTGCTTATTAATCAATGGTCCCGCCTCGCTACTTATTTTTTCTCTTTGTTAAGCACATGGTTCACCAGCGTATTTTTTTTTCTCAATTACTATGTGTACATCACGTATACAAAAACCTCCGGAAAAAAGTACCATTAAATCAGAACTAGTTTTGACAGCTTACCTATTTTCCACAAGGATTCCTAAATTTTTGTGCATCTAGCTGAAAGGAAAAAAAAATGCTTAAAGGTGCTTATTTTTATTGGATGTTTTTTAAAAAGTGCTTAATTTTCCCTTTTCCAAAATGAGATTTTTCTTCATCTTGATTTTTGCCTCGAATTATGCAAAAAGCATGATTTTCACACTGTTCTATTCAATGTTTTCACAATTCATACAACTGCAATCTATTTCGACTTTCCACCACGTATTAAAGCACCCATCATTTTACATGCTTGATGAAATACTTGCTGGTCAGCTTGTACGATTTGGTGGGAAGGATATCTTGCAGTCTCGTGTGCAAATCTGCTGTATTTTGCAAGAGTTTCTCAATTTTAGACTTCATTTTCCGCCCTCTGAATTCGAAACGAGACATCTTTCGAGTTTTTGTTCACCGGGGACCAATTAAACGTTATAAATTTTTTTCCTTAGTAGCAAAAGAAAATTTTATTTCTCTTATTAATTTTATCGTTGGTGAAGCGCTCTCATCTTCATTATTATCAAACTAATGGCTTTCTCGCTCTGTTTTATTTATAAATCAGTACCTTAATCCTTAAACTTGACTTGGGGATCATTCACAAATTACATATTTTCATGTAGGTCCCCATGTCATGTAGGTTTCATGTCATGTAGGTCAAGAATCACAAAGCTTCATCGCCAAAACATTTCCATCTCCGTTTTATTTATTTAAATAAAAAAATATACGAGACATTTGAGATTTTTAATTATAGGGATTTTTACAAGAGGGACTATCCACCAATTTCATAAATTTTTTGTAAACGTTTATTGTACTTTATTACTTTTTTTTATTTTATAAATAGTTTTTATTGTATTATAGCTTTTAAAATTTTCAGTTCTCTTAAGTTGTTTCATGGAAAAACTCAACAATATTTAGAGACAAAATTTTTAAAAAAAGTATGAAGTGAAGGGGCTTTCACTATTTTAAAAGCAGCAAAAAATCTTATGTTATTCATATTTGTTATTCCAAAAAACTTTAATTCATCGCTTAATGATTTCATTAAAAAACAATTAAAATAAAAAATTCAACTATCTTAGATTTGTTAAATATTATAAGCTTAGGGACCCTATAATAATTTAGTGCTAAAATTTTTTGCTTCAATAATCATTGCATTTACATTTCAAAATTGTTTAAATTTTTTTAAATCATTTCATTAAAAAATGGTTGTATACTTATATACATTTGTAATATGAATTGTGGCAAACTACTTTTATCATTAATAAAATAAGTAATTTTCACCCATTTGTACTTGGTCTGTGACTCATATAACAATCATTTAAAAACGATTGTGTTTTAACCCTCAATGCACGACTGGCAGGTGGACATAATTTCAGACAACAGATAATCTATACAAAATGTTAAAAAAGACTGTAATTTTGTGACTTGTGTCATCCTCAATGATGATTGACGATCGCAAACTCTTTAAATAGTAGACTAATATGTTCATAAAAATATTTAATTTTTTTAAATGAATATTTTTTCAGCATTAAATCCAAAAGTAAATTAAATCTTGATAATTTTAAAGATTATGGTTAGTTTAATTACACTAAACAAATTAAAAATAGAGGAGGAGCTGAAAATTTAAAATTTCTTCTTAACGCATACCTTTGAACATTCATTTAAAAAAAATAAGTCCTAATAATTTAAAAAGTGAGTGAAGTAAGTTTTAAGAGAACTTCTTTAATTATAAAATACTCATAAAACAAGTAAAAGTGCTAAATTTAAAAAGTAACGAAGTACAAGTAAAAGTATGTACTCTTTTACTTGTTGCAAGTGATGAAAGTAAATGTATTTCTATGCATAATATGTATATACACACACATATATGTATATATATATGAAGGGAATAAGTTCACGATAAAAGAAACTCACTTTTTCTATAGTAAATAAGCACTTTTATTCTTCTTTAGATTCAGAGATAAATTCCAAGAGAATATTCCGGATACAATTCTATATTTTACATTGTTTGAGAAAAATGAGATTTTAATTCGACTTTATTGCCTTATAACCTCACTAAACATTCCCCTTAAAAAGTTTTATGTATTTATCCTTTTTTAAATTTAAGTGTAAATTGAAGTGAGTTTATTGTTTAAGACTTTTCTTTTCATAATTAGGATGTCGAGATAAATATGACAGAAGTATTGTGTATATATCTTTGAAGAAAATGCAGCTTCAAAATGTAAATGCTACCCACTTAGCTGAAACATTGCTCTACTTCCAAAGCATTCCAAAGTAAGTATGAATACATATTTAAAATAATAATGTATACTGTTCCTTAAAATCCTGTTTAATGCTTTCTTATACCCTGACTTATAGTTTAACACTAAATATACCCTAACCGGTCAGATGACCGTTGAAGTACTTTTGCATCAAAAATGTGCTCATCATCTTGTCGTTTTTGCACATGTGACTTCAGGACTTTTTCTAACAATTATATACAGTTAATATTCTTTTTTTTTCGTATTTTGTTTGTTGCGAATAATACTTGTCGTATACCTATTTCTACCACAACCGGTCATTTGACCAGGAGAACAGTTTATTGCTTTATAAGGTTATTGGATCAGAAATGACGATGTCATGCCTGTTCAACGTATAGCATTCGATGAGTTTCACATTTCTGCAAAGACTGTTGCGTAGTTAGTTCAATCAGAATAACTATGAATTCAAATTTCAAGAAAGAACCTAAAATTTTAGATGGGCAATTTTTGTGTCAGAAAAAGTGACAAAAACTAAATGTTTTGGTTGGTAGCTTACATTTTATTTTAATAGCTTTATTTCATTTCTAACTGTTAGTTTCGACCCAGAATTATGTCAAAACAATCAAAACAGCACAAGTTCTTAGAAGAAATAGTATTATTAATTATAAGAATAACTCTTGTAATTCTTATGTATTCTTTATAAGAAAAATTATAAGAATTATAGAAATAATAATAATTAGAAAAAATATGTCTGTGGAACATATACAATGGAAATACCCTGTATATGTAAAAAATGCAGTGAGCAATAAAAGNACTTAAAATTTTAGATGGGCATTTTTGTGTCAGAAAAAGTGACAAAAACTAAATGTTTTGGTTAATAGCTTATATTTTATTTTAATAGCTTTATTTCATTTCTAACTAACTGCTAGTTTTTACCCAGAATTATGTCAAAACAATCAAGACAGCACAAGTTCTTAGAAGAAATATTATTAATTATAAGAATAACTCTTGTAATTCTTATATATTCTTTATAAGAAAAATTATAAGAATTATAGAAATAATAATATGTCTGTGGAACATATACAATGGAAATACCCTGTATATGTAAAAAATGCAGTGAGCAATAAAAGTTCTTATTCTTTGTGTTTGTTATACATAAAAATTGACACATGTACAATTTTGTTTAGTTATAATAAAGTTTTTTTAATTTATTTGCTTCCTAACATCCATATTTCATACATTCAATCAAGAAACATATAGTCCGGTCATTTGACCGGCTATCGTAGAAATAGGTATACATTAAGTGTTGGTATGTTTAGTGTTAACAAATGACATAAATTATTATTTTTTATATTTCAGACGAGAAACTATGTGTCTTGGTTTTCTTGTCCTTGTCGATGGTCGTGATGCACCATGGGATGAATTGTATAAAGCATTCGCCCTTGTAGAAGTAATATTGTATTTTTCATTTGCTTATACTCATTTATCATATTTTTGGTTCTAAAACAAGCATATATTCATGTACACTAGGATTTATATATTGCTACATTTATATTTTTAATAACTGAATAAATTGAATATATAATATTATTTTTAAATGTTATGAAAACATTCTTGAACAAAAAATTAAAGTAATTGACTAAAATAAATGTTAGATATTTTTAAAAACAAATTATTTCAGATTTATTTCTATGAATGAAAAATAACTTTCTTTCTTATTTATCAAGTTTAATTATTTATATTAATTTACTTTCTTATTTAAGACTCGATTTATTATTTAGCAGATTATTATTAGTAGTACATAGTACCTAGTATTTTTTTTATTTAAATTCTCAAGTGAATACCAAAGTCAGTATAACTTAAAATTCAAAAGGAATTTTTTTTTTCGGGAAGTCTTACAATTTAGGATGATTTTATAAACTAAGAAGAAATGAAAAGATTTTTTTTATCTATCTATATATTTTTTTTTTAGATAATTTAAAAATATTTTTTTAAATACTTTCGAAAAATATTTTTAATAATTATCTTCTCTTGTCATTATTTTTTATTATTTTCCACATTTTCTCAATATATATATATATTAAACCTGGGAAAATCCACTACAGTTTAAAAGGTTATAGAAAAGTGAGCTCATGTAGACTTAGAGTAAACCATAAAGTTTCAAATGCAGAAATTTTTCTTTTCAAATTATTATAAGTACATAAAATTATGTGATTGGGAAGTAATTGTGCAACAATTTGTTTGTATTTTTGAAAACATATTTTCAGCATTTAAATCTCCATAGCATATTCACTTTTCTTTAAATTTTACAATATCAATGAAGAAGCAACATCTTAAGCAACAATTTGATATATTTAGGTGTAGCAAAATTGACACAGTATCATGTCAGTAGAGTTAATTGGGTTAATTATTTTTGAGTTGAGTTAATTATATTTTTTTCTTACAGGAATCATTGCCAGGGACAATAAGTCTAGTGCTAGGGCTTCCTACCTCCAATCCGTGCCAATCATCATTGTCTTCCATTTTTCACCTTAAAGTAAGTTCTTGCTCCTTCCCAGATAGCAAAATAAGGTTTATTTTTACTCAGCAAAAACCTTTTTAATGCAAGCCTAAAAAGTTTTTTTATGCGGTTTACGTGTAAACCTTCTAACCTTAAAATGATATCTGTGACAATCTGCTCTATTCTATGAACATTACCAATGCAATTTGATCCCATAGCTAGTGTGACGCCAGCTAAAACCAAAGTGACCATTTTAATTAAGTGACAATACTGTTTAAAAAAGCTTTAAAGAGAAATTTTTAATCCTTTTAGGATGAAAGGTTTGAAACTGCAATATTTTTGTTTTGTTGAAAAAAAGTTTTTAGTACAAACATTTTCGTGACAATATAAAGAAAATTCTGACACAGGGTTGTCGTAAGGTTAAATGCTTTCTGGGCTTAAGATCGATTGGAACAATGTTGCTGAAATCTTAATTAAGTTGCTCCTTTTTTTTGGTTTCAGTTTAACTGTAGTTTTGTATTGTCTGGTGACTTATTAGGATGCATGAAATTGTGCAAAGTATTATGTTTGTGCTTCATTGTGGTATTTTTTCACTAACAATGTTATGTTAAAATATTTCTGGGATATTGTATTGATTTATAGTGAGAAATTCGTTTAGCTTATAACTTAACATTGATTTGATTTTAAGACATTTGGAAGGAAAGATTCCTAAGATTTTTTAAATTTTACCTACTGTGAAGAATTAACTATAAATTTTAACTTCTGTGCGTATAAATAAACAAATTTATAAACTCTGTGTTTATAGCTATAAGTAAGCACGATGTAATATAATCTTTTAAGCAAACACATAATAATGCACAAGGGAAAATAGCTCCCAGTGTCCGGCCTATCTTCTTGACCCCAGGCTGACTCTTACTGTCACCTACACGTATGTAAACACATTTCTTTTTATTTTATTTTCTTTTTTTGTATTTTCTTCAGTTATTAGGAGATAGCCACTCTAATAGGTGGGGAAAAAATAATGTCTCATCCACATTGAAAAATTCAAGAATTTGGTTGTAAGTGGTATTTGGTGGTCCCAGAGCCTTATAAAGACATCGTGTGTGTGCTTTTTAAAAAAGAGCTTAAAGGTGCTCAATTTGGATTTCCGTTCTTTAAAAGCCCTTAAAGTACTTTTTTCATTGTGTGTTTTTAAAAAGTGCTTAATTTTCCCTTTTCGGAAATGAGATTTTTTTTTTTACCATGTCGATTTTCATCATGTGTCATCAAAAATGTGTTTTTCACATTGTTTGATTCAACGTTTTCAACCACAATCTATTTCGGCATGCCGTCGGTTCATAGAGTATTAATCATTTGACATGTTTGATAAAATACTTGCGAGTCTGCATGTGGGTCTACTGAGTTGAGTTCGGTGAGTTTCTAGCACTCTCATGTGCAACTCTGCTACATTTTGCAAGATATTCTCAGTTTCAGGCTTCATTTTCCACCCTCTGAAATGGAACCGAAAAATCTGACAATCTTTTTATGGCGGCTAATATAATCAGGAAAAGAGTTCTTTGTCAGAAACTAATTATTTTATCTTGTTCATGTAAAGTCTTTGAAAATTATTTTGCATTATATTAATGTATTTAGTGCTTAAAATATTTTTTGAGTGCTTATTTTTTGGTGAAAGATTTGGCTGCGCACCCTGAAAGAGTTAACATAGGTAACTTTTACACAATACTGATAAATATGCACCAAATCTTGTAAATTAAGTTTAATTAATTAGATTATTTAACAGAGTACTCTTGTTGTAACCTATAGCTTCCATTGCATATTGGAAAAAAGATATCAAGTTCAAATATGCTAATTAAAATATGCATTTTTTTTAATGAATATTCGGGGGTTTTTTACCCTTGAAATAGGACAATCTTGGAAATATGGTCCAAACAATTTGTCAGGAGAGCAGTCCAAAGTTTGGACCCCTTAATATTAATTTTTGTGTTTTTCGCCATGTGTCGAGAACTTTGTAACAGAATCTAAAAAATGTGCACATAATTATAAAATTTGTTTGCCCAAAAATAATTCCATGCAAAATAATTTGTTATTTTTTGTTATTTATTTAATAAGAGTCTATTAAATTTTGAATTGTAAGGTATGCAAGTACTTATTTTATTTTTAAAAGTGTAATTTTATTAGTCAAAATATAAAATTTAAACAAATTTCATCAAGTAATTCTTGAGAAATTGAATTAACAACTTCTTTATAGTTTGATTTCTCAGAAACTATTCAGCCTATTTTGTATTATGGCACATGAAATTGTATTCCTTAAAAATATGTGAAAAATTTGTATAGCTCACTATTCAAAATTTTTCTTAAATAAAGTAATTCAATTATTATTAAAAATTATTTTTTGATGGAATTATCTTTGGATAAATGAATTTTATTATTCTGTGCAAAGATTTTCCGATTCGCTCAAAAAGTTCTCGAGATATAGCGAAATGAACCAGTAGTAAAATTAACATTTAGGGGACCGACCAAGCTTTAGACTGCTCGCATAACAAAAATTATTCGGAGCATATTTTCCACATTGTGGTTATTCCCCATATTTTGAGGTTAAGAAGTACAAAAATGCTTTGAGGAAAGATTATGGTTATTCAACAAAATTACATTTTTATGTCTGATCTCATAACTTTTTTAAATAGTGCCCACACTAATTAATTAGCATATTTGTCACCCTCTCAAAGCATTAAAATTGTGTCCTAGTACATAAAAATCTGATCATTAGGATGAAAATTCTAATTTCTTTTTTTAGTGCACTGTACATTAATGTATTTGTACCATAAACTTTTCTTTCTAAAATTAGTAGAAATGCTGTGTGTAGTTACTACTTATACTAAACTATAAATTTTTAAAAGGTGACCCCTAAACTGTGCTGTAGAGTGACAAACTGCTAAAAAATAGTTGATTTAAAGTAGGGTTTTTTTTTAAAAAAAATTATAAAGGAAGGTATCCTTTTTATTTAACTACTTTTCATAAGATACTGCAAATTATAAAAAATATTTTGGTTTCAGTTTGAATCCATCTCGAATGAAAATCAACTACTGACTTATATTTCAAGAGATCAACTATTAGTTGAATATGGAGGTTTATACCATTATGATCATGAAGAATGGATACAATTTCATAAGGTAAACCGCTTTTTTTTTCTTTTTGAAAAATTAAATAATTTTATTCTAAGGTTTTTAATTCAATCATTGAAGCTTATCTTAAACTGGATTAAATCTATTTTTACTGGAAATTTCATATTTTTACTGGACATACTGGATTAAAATCTAATATTTGAAAGGGAAAAAAATCTTCCAATATTAACAATAATTTGTAAAATATATATATATATGTACTTTTTTTTTTTTTGCTCCCGGAGGGCTTTAAAATGCCATACAGTACCACAGTTTTGGGGAGAGTTTGGGGGACAAAGCTCCCTCCGAAATGAAACATTACTTGATTAATGAACTATTGTCCGGTAAGTAGGATGTGGAGATAAAAAAAAATTTCATGATTAATTTTCTGTATTTTAAAATTTTTTAATTAATTAATATATATATATATATATATCGTAAAGAGATAATCGATAACATCCGTCAAACATACATTAAAACTACGCCACAGATGCCATAAGTCAAGTTTTATAGGAAATGAGTTTAGTTTCTAAGATAAGATATTTGTAGGAACTTTATTTTAAAAAATAATGTATAACTAGTATAAATAGTTAGAATATAGACTTTTACGATTTATGTCATTGACAAATATGGCATCAAATTAACCGATACACAACACACGGTCTTCTAATTTTATGACAGAGCAAAGTTAACAATTAATTCTGCTTTTGATTCCATCAAAACTTTATGTGTATACATATGTTAAAAAATTAGTATTTAAATTTTTCATCTAAATTAGTTCAGTTTTCAACTAATTCAACTAAGGATTGCAGGTGACAAAAATAGTTCATACTCAACATTTGAATCCATTTGAACTCATAAAATCAATTATAATCATTATTCCTGAGGTGCTCAGGTATAAATAGTTCAAGAAACTGTGATTGTGTGCCTCAGATAAATCGCTGGAGAAACACTACAATTATACACCACTTTATTGCTGAATAAACAGAACTAATTTAGAAGAAAAATTTTTATATTTTTTATTGAATGTTTATTCACAAAATTTTGATGAAATCAGAACCGAAGCTTGTAACCAAAGCTGAAGCATTTGCCTTGTTCCAAAACAGTTTTGATGCATGCACCCCCATGGCAGAATTGCAGTGACACGGTGACATTGTCGCAGAACGTTACAAAGTTCTTGCAAAAAGATTTTTCTTTTGAAAAGTTAAGAAAAATGTTCTTTTCTATTGAAATTTACATGTAATATTTGAATCATGCATTTAGATAATCACTTTTTGGCATGCTTAATTTAAGCCAATAGTATCAAGAATCGATGTAATGTTTCGATTCTATCTTTGGCAGTTATTGATATTGTTTTTCAAGTGAATTTTAAATATTCCGATATATTTCAAACTACAGTAAAACCTGTCTATAACGATACTGTAGGGACCTAAATAAAATATTGTTATAGGCAGGTTTGAAATTTAAAAGTATACGTTTAAAACTAATGATAAATTAAACTTCTTTTATAGGCTCCAAATTAAAATTCTACTTAGAATTATGAAACAGCACACAAAAAAAATTTACTTAAAATTTTATGAATCGAAACAGAAATTATTTAGAAAAATAATCAGTTAGTTTTGTTTGCTTATTTTTGGAAGCCGTTGCCATTTCCATGCACATAGATTTCAGTCCATCTAATGAATTCAAATGAACATTAGTTACATTTGGTAATGTTGCAACAAAATCTTGCAAAGTGATAATTAGCAATATGGCATTCTCGGGTGAAATTTGAGTCCTGTTTTGAGAACAGTCAGCTGCTTCTTCCTCATCACTTTGATCACCCGGGATAACTTCTGCTAAAATCTCTTCATCACTTGCACCACTGAAAACCAACACATCATTATCTAAATTTAAAAATTCATCTGCGTTAAATAGAAATGATGTATTAGATGATCTTTGGAAATCACTGACAATCGAATTTAAGCCTGCCACACATTTTTCTTCTTCATCAGTGATTTCAGTAAGCTCAGTTTCTGCGTTTCCGTTGCTTTTATCCTCAAAGAAAGAAGCTTTCTTCCAACAATTTTGGATGGTGGATTGTGTCAATGAATTCCACCCTCCGGAAATCCAATCACATGCATTTTTTACATCAACTGCATAAGGATTTGGGAGTTTATTATCCAGATTATAAACAACGTTCTGAACTAATCTTTTTCGATAGTATCCTTTGAAACATTTTATTATTCCCAAATCTAATGGCTG